CGGATGAGGGGTCTTTCCCGTACGGGTGAGGCCCTTCATTTTTTTATTTAAGACAATATTAACTTTTCACTACGCCTGAAGTTGGCTTTTACTTCTTTTATGAGGAAAAAATTACCTTTCTGGTAATATTCTTGGAAATAGGAGTTATAAAATATAAGCCAGTACATTGTGTATACATATGGAGTTCTATAGATGGATCCCTTTCAATTGAAATCTTTATATTGTATTAAAAAATTGAGTTATAAAATAACTTTTTTGTGTTATAATAACATAGTTTAAGCGTTTTTTATGTACTTTTTTCAATGTATTTTTTATTTTACTTTGAATATAAAATATGTGATACTAAACTAATAATGTTTTTATTATTAATTTAATGTGAATAAAATTTTTCACCTTATCAGATATTGTACATACATATACATAAACTTTTATTTATTTCATTCATTTACTGGATCAATTTTCAACTAATCAATAAGAAATAATTGATTATTGAATATTATTTATCAAAGAAGAAATAGACGATATTGTTTGATATTTTGATTAAAAAAATAACTTGTTCAGTAAAATCTTATCAACAATTATCAAATACAATTCAATTTATTTTATTGTCTCTATTCATAAATATATTTTCATTAAAATAAAAAATGATAAATACAATAAACTCATTGATACATTTAATTGAGTACTAACATTACAATAATCCGAACTACAACAATATATTTGAGCATCAGCAGCCGATGTATGAGTTGGACAAAAAAATACTGTACCTTTTGATACTAAACGACGACCATCAGCCATATTCATAACTGTTTTCTATAGAAAGAAATTATTACTATTAATTATTTTATATTAAATGAATAATAAAAACGTACAGTGCATTGAGAAAGAAAATTTGTATTATTTGCTAAAGTTACATATGGATAAGTTTCTGTAAATGGATCTGGACAATCTGTACATTGATAGCATATGATTGAACTAACTATTTGAATATCTATGAATACAAAATAAATTAAAAACTAATTAATAAAATAAAAAAAAATATAATTTACGATATAAGATAAGTATTCCAGTAAGTAATCGATACATTTTTTGCTATGAATGATGAACTCAAGGTGAATAAATGTCTCTCTTTGTACAAAAGAAATAGATTTAAAAATTTATTCATTTTTCTTCTTTTTTTTTCATTCCTCCGCAATAATGAACAAATATATATAATGTAGACTTTTGTTATACGTATTACATTCAATTGTTATTATGTTGACCAAAGAAGAACGATTACTTCTATTCATCATCATCTTTTTAAATTGTAAGATCAATTGAACACATTTGTTAATATTTAGTATTATATTTAAATAGATATAAATAATGAATGTCGAATAATTCAATGTTATTCTTGTTCAGATTGTGCTACTTCAACATTATTAAATATAAGTAAAATTCAAATATTGAATGATATAGATCAATGCGTGGTAGAAATAAAAATTAGATTTTATTTCAATATTTTTATTTTAAATTTAGAAAATAACTATATTAACAAGAACTTTTAGTGGACAACGAAAACAAATTGATCGAGGTGTTTCACAACATTGTAAAGACTATTTAAATACACAAATTTCAGTTAGTTGCTGTCTTTTTGATTTATGTAATGCATAAAAAAAAGATACAATTTAGATTTTCTTTTATTTTCTTTTTTGAATAGTTTTTTTTTCAAATAAATAATCTTAATTATATATTGCCAAAGTTGATTTCGAACATTGTATAGAATATATGTATAGTTTTATAAGTTGTGGGTTTTTGTTATTGAAAAGGAAAAAATTCGAATATTTACCAATGATTTCATTCTTTGATTGCATCTTTTTAAAACCTGTTATGATGACCTTCATCAAATTTGACAATACTTAAATTATATTTGCTATGTAAAATTATCAATTACGAAAGTTAATAGACATGACAATATCAAACATGAAAATAAAATACTAATTTGTATATAAATATATTATACATTATTTAGACGATACTATTTGATTGAATAGATGTAAATAGCCTTCAAATATCAATAGAACTTTATCATCAAGCAAATAATTTGATTCATCAATACACATTTAACGATTCATTTTATAGATTTTGCTTTTTCAATTTACATCTGTATCAAATATGATCAAATTAAAATGTATTCTTGGATTTTATCTTCTTATATTCATAAACAGTAAGTTTTATATCTGTAATTATTATAAAATTTAAAATATAGAGGTTAATTACAGAATTTCAAGTTAGTCAAAGTCTTCTTCAATGTTATCTTTGTGCGGATTGTGGTGATCCATTTGACAAAGAATATCCATATACAAGTGTAGTAACAAATCAAAATTATGGGGCAGCATGTATTGTATGTAATTAATATAAATCAATTGATTGTACTCCTTTTCTTTTTTTTTTAAGAAAACAGTTTTAACTGTACCTAATGGTAAAGTGGTTAGTCGAGGTACAACATTTAGTTGTACACAAGCATCAACAAGTGATATTAAAGTATATTGCTGTCAAACGGATCTTTGTAATGGATCGAACTCATTGAAATATTCAACATATCTACTACTATCTGTATCAATTATTTATTCTGTTTTATTTTAAAATACAATTGAAAGAAAAAGACTGACAGTATATATTCAGTAAACTGACAATTTGATTTCTATCAGACTATGAACTTAACTCTAGTTATATCATCTTTCCCTGATGCAATTCATGTTCTTTGTATTCCACAAAGGAAATGAAGTTGTCTTAAAATAAATGTTACGTTTAATTCGAACAGAAGATAACAAACCATACAATCTTGAAGGTGTGGGTGTGGATATAAGATGACTATCATATCCACACCCTAAACAGAATTACAAATATATTTATTTGTATATGACAAGATTTTTACAAAGTTACATAAGATGCTAGCTCAATTAAATATTCGGCGAAGTCGTTTCATTCGATCATCATTTTTTCGATACACTGCTTTTTTTTGGTTTGGATTCATAACCATGCCGAACTTTTTTTAATATCTATTTCGAATTTCGATTGCTCTCGCCGCATTTTGTCAGCTAGTTTTAGAACAGTCCGATGACTGATGAGAATCCAATTGACAAAGACATTATTCCATCCTTCGACTATATTGTTAGTTCGAGGTAAATCAGATACTACACGATCATACATGTTTCACAACTTACGACTGTGTTTTGTTTTTCTACGACCAACACCTAAATAAAACTCATCAAGGTCTTATCATTTTTTAATCATGAAACTAACGTGTCTTTCTTCGTTCGTCAATCCATGTCTCTTCAAAGTACCATAGAACATCATTAGTATCATCATGGAATTCTTTTTCAAGTAATTCAAATGCGCTTACAATATCATCAATTGGCACTAGTGCAATTGCTATTAGTTTTTTAGCATTTAAATGAAAATATTTATCTTCATTATGTTTTTTCTTCAAACCACAAGTTTCAAGTTGACGCCATACACATTGACCAAAGTGGAATTGACAACCTAAAGTAGAAATTATCATACATGAACTGAGAGATTTAAAATCTTATATTTTTACCTTTATATCAAGGTAAAAATATAAGATTTTAAATCGCTCAACTCATGCATGACTCTTTTTAGTTTAGGTTGTCTATTCCACTTTAGTCAGGGTATATGGCATGAAGTTGAAACTTGTGGTTTGAGGAAAACATTTGATGAAGATAAGTGTTTTCATTTAAGTGTTAAAACACTAACAGCATTTGCATTGCTACCAATTGACGATGTTATGAACGCATTTGAATTACTTGGAAACAAATTTGACGATGATACTGATGATTTTCATGCTACTTTGAAAAGACATGGATAGGCGAACGAAGAAAGAGAGGTTAGTTTCATGATTGAAAAAAATGACAAGACCTTGATGAGTTTTATTTAGATATTGGCTATAAAAAGCAGAAATTTAATAATGGACTATGGAACATGTATGACCGTATAGTATCTGATTTAGCTCGTACGAACAACGTAGTGGAAGGATGGAATAATGTCTTTGTCAATTAAATTCTCATCAGTTATTCACCTGTTCTAAAACCAGCTAATAAAATAGGGCTAGAATAATCCGAAGTTCGAAATAGATATAGAAAAAGTTTGACTTGGTTATGAATCGAAACTAAAAAAAGAAGTGTATCGAAAAAATGATGATCGAATGAAACGACTTGGCCGAGTATTTAATTGGTCTAGAATCTAATGTAACTTTGCAAAAATCTTGTCATATTTGTTTATTGTATCATTGTTTGTTCATTAGCATGCTCTGTGTCATTACTTACTCAAGAGACTAAATGGAAATAAAATTCTTGATAATGTAGATTTAATTATGTAATCGTGTAACACAACAATTAAATGCATGTGCGACGAATTGCTCTAGTGCCTAGACTCTGAACTGTTATGTATATGTTTCAGTGATACAGAAATGACAAATATGCAGTAAAATCCACCCAAATTAGTTAACTAATATGTATAATTTCATGTCATTTTATTAAAGTAAATATTGATAGAATTAGTCTTGAGTTTTTTTATTTTGAATATAGTTTTTTGAATAGATTTACTGTGGATATGTGTGAGTGTGAGTGTATTATATTTATCTCACACCCACCTACACCCGTTTGAGCTAAAATTCTCAGGTTATTCCTGCAACACTGATGCCCAACTATTGTAAAAATATCATCCAAATCGGTGAGATTTATTGCACAACGTTCGTCGTAGATTATCGATGTGAAGCTAGCACCACGAGTAGCTAGCACCACCAAAAAAAAATTCCTATTTGTCGAAAAATTAACCAATCAGAAAAATCAAAACCATGATACTCCATCATGGAGGACAAGAATTGGACTATGGTTTCCTTAGCAACCCAATTGAAAATCCATATTTACATATGTACACGAGCAACAAACCACAACTAATTACTTTCACAACAAAATATAAAAGGATATCAAACATATAGCCTTCTCTTATAACTTCACACCAAGCAAATATAATACCATGCACTGAACTCTACATATCCCCCACAACTATGAACACACTTTTGCTCATCAAACTTTCCCCGGTAAATTAGACCTGTTCCAATCTGTGTAGAATTGAATTCTGCATCGAATGGAGTTGTTTCAATGCCCCGGCAATATTTCTGAAGAAAGAAAAACCGCCAACTATACCCCCAATCTTTTGTTTTTTAAGCGAGTTTAAGATCTTTCGGGTTCATCAAAGTATTGCCGGGGAATGAGACTTGTGCCAATCAATGTAGAATTGAATTCTGCATCGATTGGCACAAGTCTCATTCCCTGGCAATACTTTGATGAACCCCAAAGATCTTAAGTTTTCCTAAAAACCAAAAGATTGGATGTATAGTTCGCGGTTTTTCGTT